AGCGAGCAATGTCGCGTTTCTCGTCCCCAGTTTCCATGGTCTACGCATGGAACGCCTGGGACCATGACCCTCCTTTTGGCTACCAAAACGCTGGTATTTTAAGGCTCGGGCTCTCCTACGGAAGCCCGAGTAAAAAGGCAAGAAAACATTCTTATAAAAAAAAAAAGTGTAGTGGGGACGGCGGGATATAAGCATAATTTTAAGCATAAGTTCATTTTCTCTTGCTTATGCTAATGCTTATGTCGCAACCTCGTTCCCAGGGTCTTTTCCCTGGCTTGGGGGTGGGGCGGGTGGGACATGGTTGGTATAAGTATAAGCGAAAGACTTTCAGCCAATCAGCGAGCACTTTATCCTTAGGTCCCCACTGGATATAACAGCGACATAAACGTAAAGCTAAGCACAAGACGAACACTTATGTTTATGTCGTAGCCGTCTCCACTTGTGCATAGTAAGCTTCTTGTGCTTATGTTTACGGTTGTACAGCTCTAGAAATACCGATGCTCTGGAATTAGCGATAAAATTTGACAATTACTAGCAAATCCCATAGGTAGTGACTCTCGGAATAACGACCCTCTGAAGGAAACGACCACAAATGTAACTTGGGTATGGGTAATAACTGTAGAGAATACAAACAAGAGACTATGATCTAGATACAAAATACTATTCCGGCTTGATATAAATTTCTTTCTAGAAGCTTTGTCCCATTCCTCGCTAAATAACTTGAAATTTTCTATTAACCAAAAAATAAATAAATTAGTTTCTACTTACTTGCATCTGTGGATTGTACAAACACACAACACATGAGCTTTGATTTAGGACCTCAGTATATTTTGGTGAACTAGCTGAGTAACAGCGTAATGAAAAAGTAGTCATCAAACTCCGCGTCCTAGGCACCTGCATGCCAGCAGGCTTAATAAGTAAGTAAGTAAACTTCGCAACGGAAAGAAGGAGTCAATTAACATTAGATCTTTATTGGGTCATGTTTTTCGAGATCGCTTTTCTAAGATGGAAAGGAGTACTTTAGAGAACATAAGCGCAAAAACCACACGGAATCTTAATTATATCGACCTCACCTTGATGTCGTTTTCAACTTGATCAGAAAAATATATATCTTAGAAAAAAACATTTTCTTTGAACTGAGACTGCACGATGACTGTTAATATTGACAGTGAGCGCATTCTTAAAATCGTGGGGAAGTTATTGAATTTTCTAGCTGCCGGAAATCTTTTCTCTGATGGTTCAGGGACCTTGCTTTGCAACTTAGTACCCTCGATGCCAATCATCATTTTGTCCGTTTTTAGACAATTATCTTTAGACTGAGTACTGTTAATGTCGAGTATTTACTTCTTTCATAACTTAGTTTTTAAATCATGTTCTTATATTGGTTTAATTTCAGATTTTTAATTTAGGTCTTAAAATAATTATAATCGTTATCGCTGTTTCGCTATAATATGAATTGAGTGGAAACCAAACTGGGTGGGAACTTCAAACATCGTACAATTTTATTTGTTAACACGAATACGAGTTTGACTAGAAAAAATGACAAGCAAATAGAAAATGAATACAACAATAATAAATGAAGGACGCTAGACAAATTATAAAGAAAACTTCCACCAGAACGATAAAGTGGAAATTGAACAGATCCTGGATACGTACTCAATGCACAATTTCCTCGAACGGATTTGTAAGCTATTTTAAAATAACGAAACCGTAGCTCGTATAAGTACGCGCACGAAAAATGTAAATTATTTGTCCCGTAGGGATATCATGATTTACATAGGGAGCGAAACAATAGAAAGCAACGCAAGAATGTCACAATAATAAGTCTTTTATAATTCTTAATCGAAGGCCACAGGTTTAGTAGTTGTTTTAACTATTAAGTGAAAACCATCTCTAAATAAAGTTTGATTGATTGATGGTAACTGCACAGTTGACGTCACCTAAAAATTGAGGTGGATTGATTTTGCTGTAAGTGCAGCGCATCCTGCATAGTCGGGCAAGATGGAAGAATGCGCCTTCCATTTATCAATGATGTCTTTCCCGACAATAAGCATCGAATGAGCAATCTAAATGAAGGAATAAGGTGGAATTTCTTTACAGCCGTAGATTCCAGTAGATCTCTCTTAAGGGATTGAAAAGTTATTGAGAGTCATTTCATTTCACTGGCAGCTTCATCAAGCGTCCAAAATAATTTGAAGTGTATTACAGTCCTCTTTGCATTTTCTAAAAACTATTAAGGTATAAAAAGTTGCCTAAAATAATACCAAAAAAAGTTTTCACGGAAACTCGAAATAATTCAGAAATTCAAAGTTCAGAGAAAATGTGCAAACACCTACAGGTGAAATTTCATCATCAGCTTCATTTCATCAGTCAATCAATTAATTTTGATATTGTACCCAATTTACTGTATTCACAGAGCGCTATTTACAGAAGATTCAAGTACTTCAAGTATTTCATAGGAACTTCGAAATTCGTTTTCGACATTTGGTGTTGTTAGAAATGATTTCTTTTGAAAAGATATTTAAAACAGTCTCTTATCAGTTTGTAATACGATGTGAATAATAGCCTACAAGCTTCTTAATACCAACAAAACTGGAGGTAAATACATGTAACTGGTCCAAGCGCCGGAAAGCGTGCGTGAGCGCGCCACGATTTGTTTTAGTTTTTCTTCTGATTGGTTGAGAAAGTGGCTCGAGGTTTCTACACCAATCACTAAGCCAAGTAATGCAACACAACGGACTATCCAAATTACTTTAAACTTACTTTTATTTCCGAGTATAACAGACATATAATAATATCTACTGTTCTTAATTATTATTTTTTTTATTGCCTTTAAGCTCAGATATCCCAAATCTAGTCCCTTCAGCTATTAGTAATAGTAATTGGACCGACTGGAGTACAATTCAGGGAGAAATCGCGCGTGTAATTTCAAAAGCGGACGAGCGCGAAGCGCGACGTTGATTTGAAATTACGAGCACTAGCACGAGCACGAGCACGAGCACGAGCACGATTTCTCCCTGAATTGTACGACAAATTTTGGAAATAAAAATGTCTTTTGAGCTCTGAAATGTCTTTTGATTAGGTTTTTTAATCGCATCTATAACAAAATTCTCCATCGTGGTTGGTTCCCTGTGCGCCTATTTGATATATTTTTTGTAATTGGATACCCACGTGATTCGCATATCAATTACGCGCGCTGTAATGACTCCCTTTGCAATGTTTCCTACAGTTTCCAAAACTTATGAAAAGCGCTACAATCGTTTCAGCCCAAAAGAAGTTCTCAAACGACAATTTCAATTCCGAAATTTGTTACAGATACGATTAATTAGTAATTGGACCTCGGGTTGTACAATTCAGGGAATAATCGTGCTCGTAATTTCAAATCGACCTTGCGCTTCGCGCTCGACCGATTTTTAAATTACTCGCGTGATTACTCCCTAAATCGTACTCCACTCGGCCCAATTACTATTACTTATGGAAATTCGCGTTAGTCAGCTACAGAATTAGAATATCAGTAGCAGGAAATTGAAATCGAAAGGTCAAACTCTAGAAAGTTCTCGACGCAAAGGGTATTTTCAACGGCGTTTGCTCAGATTACACCAAGGAATGTACTACACTTGATTGAGTCTTCTCCTACTCTGGATACGCATTATTCAAGATGACTGAGTGACGCGATTACAGAGTGAAGTGGCACGATTACAGGTTTGTTTTACCTAGTTAGTTCATGCGCATTTTGTAATGCAAGTCGACGTCCGTATTCTAGAGACAGTTTCACTGTTTTCTAATGATATCAGCGGAAATCGTTAATTCGCTTAAGTCACCGGGATGAAAAAAGATCGAAAATCAGGAAATGTAGTTTGAAAAATTGTGTGTTCATCACTGAAAAACTCCGACCTCGAAATTTATAAGATGAAGAAAACGTTTACTAGGCACTGTTGGCTGATACAGGATTTGGCATATCGTATTAAGATTCGGCTTTGCCGATCGTATAACATAGGCTGAGCCTGATGCGATCTTTTTGTCTTACGAGAGCTGAAATAGCAATGTTTTAAAGGAATCACGATGTAATGACTTCTGATGTATGAAATCCGCGGGTATTCGTCTTCTTATTTACCGGTTATCTTACTCCCGTTTGTGGGATTCAAACGACGACTTCCCAGCATGCTGATGAGTTCACTTTAGTTCCCCTTTAACTTGTGAATTACCGAGTCTCTTCCCGCAAGACTCGTCAAAATACAGGTTTATGGATGATTGAGTTGTTTTTCTTAAAATTGACTGTAGAGCCTTTTAGCGCTAGTTCTACGAAAAACTTGTCGAACACCATACGAATGTCGGTAGAGGAGGAACTCACCGACAATTTAGTGAGAGCTAAATCTTTACAGGCTCAACGCTATTATGCAACTCTCGATACTATAGGCATTCCTGTAAGAAGGAGTTTTTCGTGAGGTGTCGATGATAAATCACTTTGTTCACAAGCAGACAGAACAAGAAGTTGGCCTTTATATCGACAATTTGCATTGTGTGCAGTGTCCTATGCTGATTTAGCTGTCGTTTGCTTGAGTGCACCAGTGTTAATTATTCAACAAGCTAAAATGAGTGTAAAGTTTGGTTTAAAACAACGCTTTTAATGATGTCCTTGGTATTTTAGTTACATTATTTGTAGCTACTAACCGAGTTAATCATTAAGTGCAAGAAGTCATCAGTGATATCAGTTAGGTAACTGTGAGAATAGTTATTTAATTGTTGTTTTAATTTTAACATAGTTTCGAGTGTTCTTGTCGGCATCTGTCTCGTCTCCCTAAACTAGCTAGTATTAACCAAATAGAGTAAACTTAGGGATATGTTTTATATCAGTACTTTATTATTTGAAAGGGGCTATGAGCTTTAATTAGGAACAGGCTGTAGAAATGGTCGTTCGACAGTAAAATTGCTTTGACAATATTGACATGCAGCAAAGTTTGAATAATATTTTGTGTCAAAACGGCTAGCGAAGCATGACTTGGATGTCAAATTACCTTTCGAATTAATT